CCAGCCCCCATATAGAATTTCCTAAATGCCAACTTTATTAACATACATAGTTCCCATCAAGTGGTCCATTCATTGCCACTCTCATTGACTCCTCCAAGTCTCTCCTAAAAGACTGTTAACCCTGTGCCTGCCTCCCTGGCTCCTAGGGTCTCTCTCTCACTGTCCTGTGGTGATACCATTCCCACACACTTTAAGGGGATTTTCAGGCAAAAAACCAAGCCCTTGTAATTTTTGAGTTGAAAATGCCTTGTTTAAAGATCTTTACTGAAAAATAATGCATTAATGCTGATAACATGAGAATTTTTATTAATGGATTAGATCTGCACTTTCTCATAGTTTTCTTAAGCTCATGGCTATGCAAAATCAAACAAACAAATGAACAAAAGCCTTGTGGCTGAGCAAATTTGTGCCAGGGGACACTGATTTTTGAAAGTGAGTATGCCTCCAAATATCACTTCTTTTACCAAAAACTTGCTTCTATCAATTTATTCTATTCATTCTTGTTTTTATTCATCTATGAAAATTGTTTATTGGAGCCAGGAGTTTTAAGCATACTAGAAGATGTGTAATATAACTTTGCATTTAAATTATCAAAATTTACTTTTTGAAATTTTCCAAAAAATCCCCCCTAGAATTTATGTTCTGGGATTCAATGCCAAGTACAAGTTCACAACATTCATAACGTTTTACTTTTAAAAAGAGTTCGTAAGTATTGTCTTTGCCTGGGTCTTTTTGACTTTATCCTAAATAAAATATGTTGACACATAATAAAACTACATATCCTCTAATATATTTTCTGTCTTAGACAAAATGGAATTCTCTCTCAAAAATTAGGTTTTGAGACTTTTACTGTAATCCCATTTAAGTAAGACTACTGTGTATACCACTTTTTCAATGTCATCTGCATCAATTATTTGTCACTTCAATATTTTCCATGTCTCATCAACCGAAAATGGGAAAAAGATGATGCCCCTTTACAATTTTCTGCATAAACAAACTGCTACTTTTAGCAAAAACAACTTTCTTTCTACCATTTAGACTATTGTTGAGGGATGGAGCCAAGTACTCTTCTATATTCGGAATCATCTGATGATTTGTTGTTGGAGTTGTAAATAGCACGTGATGTATTAGGGGGCACGTGTTTATTTCCATTGAAAGAACATGGCCTATTTTTGAGGGAGGAAAGAAACTTGTAAGACATCAAATGTTTCTTGCAAAACAATTTGGTGAAATAAATGTAAATGAATCAGAAACATGTGAATTGTATTTCAATTCGAATTACTGGTTTTAAATAGGAAGGGGTGAAGTGCTTGAGGGAAAGAGTGTGGTAGGGCGGTAGGGAGGGTGGGAGGGGACATTTGTTTTGTTTTCATCAGTCTTGGATTCTTGAAACATGGCTTGTACTATGAATTCAACTTCATTCAGATTGTGTGAAGTCTAATGATGGACTTGCAGAGCGGGCTAATAATATGTGAACTCATTTTACAGCTCTATCTGATTTCAATTGTAATGTGTGCATTCAACATGGCCACTGTGCAATTCTTTACAATCCCTTTGATTTGCAGCTCGTCTTTTTTCTGTGTAATGCTTTCAAGGGTTAACCCGTCATTGTAACGATGAGCAAATATATTGTTTCACCCAGAATCACACATAAACTTCATCTTTAGTTCCTCTTTCTAACTGAATATAATCAGAATCAAAAGGAAAATATGTAGGGGATGAGTGTGTCCACATATATTCATGAGATGGACCGGGGAAGAAAATGTGCTGGAAGAATGGAGAGTGAAAGAGGACAAGGGGAAAACAGGGACAGCAGAATGATCAATGAATACCACGTCAGGCTATCAAATCTAATATTATGGCATCCGGTCACACTAAGTATTTGAGAGTTACAAAAAAAATTATCCATATCTTCATTTTCATAGCATATATGTTTGCTTAAAAATAGGCACATGGCTTTTGAAAAAAATATTTTGTATTTTTCAATTAAAAGTAATGTATTACTCTGAAAACCAGGAAAAAAATTCACCTAAAATAAATAGTCTTACAAATAAGTTTCTCTGTCTTAAAATATGAGTAAGTTTGATTGGTATGACATTAAAATCTCAGAAAACAGGGTTATTTTAGATGTTTCCAAATTTGCAATTGGCAAGGAGCATGTAACTGGTATACACACATATACACACACACATACCAATTATATATTGACAAATACATATATTGTGTGTGTATATATATGTATGTATATATATATACATACACATAAACACAAATATATATATATATATATATATATATATATATATGAGATATTATCCAACACTGCTTATGTAGCTTTCAGAATATACCACTTGGCAGAGAAAGTCTTTTTCACATGAATCGAGGATGTAGTACCCATAGTCTATTGTGGTCAAGAGGGTGCTTTTTTGCTTCCTGAGATTGTGCTGGTGCAACCCATGTCAGGCATCTCTCTGGTTACTCAGAACACTACTGCCAGTCATAGGAAGCAGCAGGAATGAGGATTCTGCTCCTTGGTTTATCTGTAGCCCTAAGTTCATTGTTTCAGACTATTCTGGAAGTACTTCTCCTTTTTGCTTTTCACAGGCAGGGACTGTGAGGACTTGCTCTTAAAGTATTTGTTCCCTAACTGGACAGGAGTTGAGCATCAGCTTCTAGGACATTCCTTTGTTGTTTCACTACCTTCCCCATCTTACATTAACAGATGAAAATTGGAGAGACTGGGATAACTATTTCATGTGTACCAATTAATGAAAATACAACATTATGGCTGTTTCTGAGTCCTCAAAGTCACTCTTAAGAGTTTCACCAATTGGCACAAAGTATAAATCTTAACCCCAAAATTGGATCAGTGAGAATGCATAAATAGTGTCACCTTCATCCTTGTTACCATCAACCATCAATAGTTATAAAGTTTTCAATTAAGTGTCACTATGGAGGGTCTCTGTTCCAAACATTTTTACAATAGTATATTTCTTTTCAGCAGGGAAGTATTGGGATTTAGTTTCCATGATGATTTGGTACACTTATAAGACCATAAGGGTAACAGGACCTCATCCTTTGTTTTTTGTGTTGTTCCACTGTTTGTGTTGCAGGCCTATCCTTGTAGCAGTGATAAGGAATGTGAAGTTGGGAGATACTGCCATAGTCCTCATCAAGGGTCATCAGCCTGCATGGCATGTCGGAGGAAAAAGAAGCGCTGTCATAGAGATGGCATGTGTTGCCCTAGTAACCGCTGCAATAATGGTAAATGATGGCACTGAGTGTTCGTGGGCCTCTATGGTTTTCATGTAAGAATACTGTCTTACAAGTTAGTTTTTTTTTAATCCCTGAGTACCAGGTATTGAACCCCAGGGGCTCTTAATTACTGAGCCACATCTCCAGCCTTCTTTTATTTTAATTTTTTAAATTTTGAGCCTCCCTAAATTGCTGAGGCTGGTTTTGAACTTGCAATCCTTCTGCCTCAGCCACCCAAACAACTGTAATGACAGGTGTGTGCCACTGTGCCCATCTTAGTCTAACTTTTTACTCAGACTTCTGAATACCTGTGCTTTAGGTAGTATAAGATTACCTGGATTACCTCTGAAATCTTAGTTTCTCTGGGTTCTGACCACCATCTATATTTTCTGCTGTTTGCTGATCTAGGATATTGCAAAAATGGAACTGCCACGTAGATAGATAGATATTCTGTTCTGCCAAGCACATAAGCAAATACGTGCAAAAAAGCAAAAGAAGGTGGTAAACTGCTGTAATTTAGTAAAGCAGTTGCGAGTCCTTCTTCCAGCTTCATGCCAGTTCCTGGTTTAGTTCTTATGTTGAAGATGTCATGTGGCATGGTGACAAAATTCCTCCAAAAATAGACTTGAGATTCTATCCCCTAGCCTGAATTCGTCCAATTTCAATAAAGTTAGAAGTAGACAATGCAGCATTAATAATTAAATGAAGAATCATAACACATAAAAATATTAAGTAATAGCAGAAGGTAGTTAGAAACATATAATTTGTCATACATAATAACAGAGTCCAGCTCATATCACTATGCATACTCTGACCTCTAGCATAGACCTACTCTGTGTACCTTGCACAGAAAGTAAGTGGAGAAAGAGCTTATACCATTAGAGAAGTTTGCAGTTTAGACAGAGATTGTACTGTTAATAACAACAGCAGCAATAACAAAAACAACCCTGAGTCCCCAAGGGGGTCATCTGGTCAGATGATTTTAAAAACATGATAACTAACATTAATTTAATTTTTAGCAGATAACTTAAGCATTTTGCATATATTTACTGTAACTCAGTGAAGTTAATTCTGTTTTTATTCTTTCTAAAAAAAAATCTTTTGTAGTTATCGGTGGAAAACATGCCTTTATTTTATTTGTTTATTTCTATGTGGTGCTGAGGATTGAACCCAGTATGTGACTTGTGCTAGGCAAGTTCTCTGCCACTGAGCTATAGCCCCAGCCCCAATTCTGTTTTTATTCTCATTTTTGTCCAAGGTTACTTGGGTCTTGAAGGAGATAACATTAAAATTAAGAAAGCCTGGCTCTAGGGCCAAAGTATGCTATATCCAACCTTAGTAAATAAGTGAATGAATGAATGAATGAATGAGTGAGTGAGTGAATATGCAGAGAGACAGATAGAATTTATAGAACTGAGCTGTTCTAAATGTCTGCATTCTATCTCTAGGCATCTGCATCCCGGTCACTGAGAGCATCTTAACCCCTCACATCCCAGCTCTGGATGGCACTAGGCATAGAGACCGAGGCCATGGTCATTATTCAAACCATGACTTGGGATGGCAGAATCTTGGAAGACCACACACCAAGATGTCACATATAAAAGGTAGGGTCTATCTGTACCTCTGTGCTTCCTTTTTCTTGTTTCAATAAATAAGTAAAAGAAAACTATAAGTGATTAATTTCATTGATTTCAGAAAAAAGTAACAGCAAGTTTTAAAATGAATTCATTCTTATTTTTGAGGATGCTAGAGTTTCTTTAGCAATCTTAAATTGTTTGAAAATAAATATTATGAAAATCATAGTACCCTGATGATTCAGATCATTTTCGAAGCAGGCCTTCCTTTTAATATGAAATTTAGGAGAAATATTCTATACAAACATACA